TGAGATCGTTGATTTCTCCGCCACTGTAGACCACCCTGTTGAGCTCCGCCCGAACCGAGTAATTGAGGGGGTTTAGTTCAGGACCCCCGCTTAAATACTCCATCTTTTCCAGGTACTCAACGTTCTTCCATTCCAAGTAGGCGAAAGTTTTTCCAACGCCCTTCGATTAAATGTGTTGTCACCCAATCCTGTAGCAGTACCAAATGTTCCAAGAAGTACCGCTGGCGACGAAATGAAGATGCGGAATCCTCAAGAGTTGCTCGATGTAGCCACCAGCGCACACCCTCAGTCTGGGGCCCACGAAGAAAATATCGGTTCATCCATTCCAGGTACGGCCGGTCCACACCATCAACCCGCGCCTTGGTGAATGGGGTGAAGATGATGTCCTAGACCGTAGCGACGTTGCGGGAGCTGCTCGATGTTGAGGTCTTGCAGATCAAGAGTACTGGTCTCCAGGTAGCTATCCATGGGTTCCATTCAAGAAGTTCCGCAGCTGTTTGGAGGCCACGTGAATTCCAAAGGCGTTCTCCACTCAGGCCGCGACTGGAGATGACTTCATATTTTGGTGTACATGAAGGTGAATGGCGGCAGCCGGCTCCTGCTTATAGAGGAAGATCTTGGGTATCTTCCGCCCTGGTACTCATATCCACTTCCTCTGTCTGGGCTTCGCTCATATGTGACTCGGCCGGAATGACTTTTTTTTGGCCCCTGTATAAGTCAGCCCAGATGGGTTCGGACACCCAGCCACAGAGCCCGACGAATCAACGGAATGGCTGCTGAGCGGAGCTTGAACAGTCTTTTTTTGCATGGCGCTTATAGTAACCGGTCGCCCCTGCACCGCCCCCGCGAAGAAAAAGAACGTTATGACGCGCCCCATTCTTCGCATATTGCTATAACCTTGCTAGTAGCGACTCAATGATTCGTATCACCAACATACCTACTGCTATTCAAAGACCTGCCAGCAGCCAGTCGTTCCCTTGAACTTGTACTGCCATGGTACGTATCGCCTGAATAATTTTTCGTAATCTTCGAGATGCCTTCGATTCTGATTTTTCAGCACAGCTATCGCGCAAAGTGGGGTGACGGTGTGAGTTACACTTCTGCTGTTCCCACTAAGATCCTGATTTACAAGGTCCCAACTATGGCTGAAACCTGCGGAACCCGTTGGTAAATCTGGCGAGCAGCTTTTCTAGTCCACCACTGAACCTTGCAATGTTGTGAAGCTCGAGCGGGATGCGGCTCCCTAGATGGGTCGACACGTCCATGAGGAAGCTAGCAAAAGTGCCAAAAGGCCCCACGTCTCCGAATCGCCCCTGATTTCCCTTATACACTGCGAAGCAAATTCGTAGTTCCACCCATGAATCTCACAAAATCCTTTCTTACGAGAGGTTTTCAAGAAATGCCCCCATACAAAATGTGGCAATTACCAATACCAATTCGCATGCCAACACAAAAAAAAGTAAGTCTGGAAAAAACAGTTTTTTTTCGTCAATTTTTTTCAAAAATGGTCGTTCTGACAACGCAGCAAAAATATAGTTCCACCCCATATTTTCCGGCTGCATCTCATTTTTGTTCGGTGAAACTTCTCATCATTATGACTTCTTGCCTCTTCTAGGCTATGGCAAGTGGAACTTCCGCACATTCATCATGCTATCAACAATTTTTTCCAAGGGACCTACAGGATATTGAGCTGAGAAGAGCCCTGGACATCCTTCCTTTGCTGCGCGATCGGAATAACCGCCGTATCCTAGGGAATGCATCCAAGCTCTGTAGTTCTTAGGTAAGAGAGAAAATCAAAGTCATCCTTACGCAGGTTACTGTCTCGGAGGAATACTTGTTAGGGCGTTCTTGGAAAGAAACTCCCTGAGTTCATCACATGGAGGAATATAATTACCGTTAACTAGTTATCTAACGAACCACTCGCAAAGACCCAATTGGCCCTATTTGCTCGAAGATGTTGCCGAACCCAATGGAGTGAGGTTAGCTTTTGGCTGCGGTGCCCTACTGCTTTTCTGTGTTGTTTTTTTCAGTTTTTTTTTTTTCTCGCGGGCGGGGCTGTTTTCTGAGTGAGAAAAAATTCAACTGCACCTTGCCTCCGCGGAAAACCGATTCGGTGCCACGACATGGGAAAGATAAAGGTTTCATTTTTCCGGGCAGGAATTTCAAAGGATTGCGTCTGGGTTGCCACCGCCCGTCGAGGCGGGGAACGTCTGAAACTGCGCTCCGTATGACAAAAGAAATCTATTTCTTCGCGTCATCTAGAGTCACGTTGAACAACGTTCCTTGCTTTCATGTACGTAGAAGAAACCATTTCATGCAAGATAATGCACCAGTTCATGACAGCGTGATTCAAGTTTTCAAATAACGCGTTCTTGCTCTTCTGTTCCTGGCCAGCGAGTTAGCCCCGGAAACCAATCGGAGAATTCGTGAGGGGGCTTCATGGTGCGTATGATCCATTTAATGCCACAATTCCACAAGGTCCGTGAGCTTAGAGAGTTAATCATTGGGGCAGTCGGCCGACAGCCTATTAAAATCTCTAATCGAACATGGGCAACCGTATTTTCCAACTTAATTGGAGAAATAGAGTTCCAATAGATTACTGGATCAAAATTTATTCATTTTATTGTACATTTGTTGTTGGAATATTCGATTTGTTCGGTGGAACTACACTTTTGCTGCCTTGTCAGAACGACCATTTTTGAAAAAATTGGCGAAAAAAATTTTTTCAAGTTAGCGTTTGTTGTTGGCATGCGAATTGGTATTGGTAATTACCACATTTTTTGTATGGGGGCATTTTGGAAAACGTCGTGTAAGACAGGATTTTGTGAGATTCATGGGTGGTGGAACTCATGATTTTGCTCGCAGCAGCGCGCTGCAAATGTAAGGCCGCTCGGCTCTGCGCCTCTCCCGTCTCTATCCTAAGTCTACAACAACACGATCCGATAGCATCTATAAAATATCTGCTTTAGCTCAGCTGTCTTTGCCATTAGTCCTATTTTGGATCTCAGAGCTGCTTTCAGTAGCTTATTAAGCTGTACTTAGTAGCTTGACAATCAAGTATTTTCCGAGGGGATGTAGGATAAGGAGCAACTGACAGTTACTTCGTATCCCGGATGAGAAGGCGTGGCTTTCAAACGTGGCATATGCTGCACTTCAAGTGGAATGGTTTCTTCCCTTGAAGAGCTGTAATTATGTCTTTGCCATGCGCTAGACAGGGTGACTTTAGTCACAAATAGAAATAGCCGACGAAAAACGAATCCATATTATTATACTAACAAATCCATATCATATTGACATGAAGTATGCGGCCAAACCCTTTTCAGTTCCGGGATATGGAGTACAAATTTTGTTGCGGAAAATAACAGAATGAAAGTTCGTTTGCGAAACGTTCTACATAAAGTGTAGTTCGCTGCAGACGGTTGGGATCAGGCGGGATGAGTCTGGCGCGGTGCCGAACCCGTTCTCCCATGCGCGCTTCGACAAGAAGGCAGAGAACGGCTTTGAAAGCGTGACACAGTCATACACCTGACAAGTCCAACCGTCCGCAGCGAACTAAAGTATAAAACCATTGCTTCTGAATTTTGACTCCGATGGGCTTCTTTTGAAAACATTACCTGAGGTAGCTTTTATCCTCAAATAGTAATAGATTTGCAACTTTCCACTTGCCTTCAGACAAAGAGGTCGTCTCAGACAAAGGGATCGTTTCATTGTTCTCATGATCTCTTGTACAGAGCCAGTCGTCAACAGTGGGCTCAGTTGTCTCCCATGTCTCTTCAGATGCATAACTTTCCATTTTTGATGTTGACGTGTGCGCTGTAGATGAAATTGGCTGAGGCCGAAAAAGGATTTTCCGGTATGTATTTACTATATCATGCATCATTATTATTATTTTTATCGCATCATTCATATGGAGTAATATGTACGACCTATTGCATAGTCACAGTAATGAGGCCGCGTTCGGCAGCGTTCAGATTCCGTGGTGTCGCCCGTCTGCGCGCTACCCTAGCGACCCGACCGCGCACTAATTTTATAGAAGAACATACCAGTCATAGACAAGTACCGATCGGCGCTGGCTGCGTCTGCTTTGAAAGAGCGTGGGAGAACAGGAGGTACGTCTTGCCAATACACATACCTTCTGTTCTCCCATACTCTGTTGTCTGTAGAAGCGCATGCGCTGCGCAAAACCCTCTGCAAACAGGCTATGGCCATTTGGACTCCAGCAATTTCGGCACCGAGCTCATTTTTAAATTGCCTAAGATCACCAAACCCGCTGAAAAACATGTACACAAGGGTTATTTACCATCGTGATTACAATGTATGGTCACTTATGTCTTGGTGCTGCGCGGCCAGGATGACACCCAGGATTACTTCTTGGGTCAGGCACTTTAGCGGAGCAGCAGCATCAATCGTAGTGTCCATCGCAATCTAGCGCCAGCGGCAAGAGTGAATGTCACTATCTCGGTAGTCAGGGATTGCTAAACTACCCATCAAATACGAGTCTTTTTAGCGAGTTTGGTGGACTTAGGCAATTTAAAGTCGAGGCTCGTGGCGGGAATTGCTGGAGTCCTAACGGGCATTTACCCTCTCAATCAGACGGCTTGCGATTCGATCGCCGAAACCTCGTAAACTCTGCATTCGTACATCCGCGACTTCAGCCGTTCACAGCGCATACCGGGAAATTGCGGAAGATCAGACTCTAATTGAATGCACTTCACGCTTACTCGCTGAGACAACTTTCGAATCACGCAGGACTGGTGAGAAGTGGCTGTACGACTTGCGTTCACACGACCGTTCCCTGGGTGCTTGTTCTCGGATCGAGGCACTGGATCGCTGATGCTCACGGAAACCAATGTATCATTTGACACGAAGCATAATAAGCGGAAGCAGACAGCGAGATGGAAGAAAAAACCAAAACACGTACTGGAATTCCCTGCACTGTTCGTGTTTTTTCGTGAAGGCAGCGCTGCTTGCGATACAGCAGACAGTGAGCTCGAACCTTTATTAGTGAGTGACGATGGCGTCTCATACGTAAACGGTACACGATCTGGACCTGTGATAGAAACACTTTGATTCAGCTGAGAATGGCCAGAGGCCCCACATTCAGAGTTCAGATTCTCTGCCGCAGTCACACTTTGTGGGACCAACCTATTGTTTTTCACTCGTCTTACGGGTCACGTCTACAGCTACATGTCCAGGTCATACGTCTTTGTTGGACTTTAACTCTCCTATTGTTTGTCTCGGTCTCTCACCTGCGTGTCAGTGTCTCATTTCTTCGAACACTCGTCCAATCCTTAGGCGTTACGCAAAGTCTCTTATTCTGTTTCACCCTCTCCTTTCTTCACTGTTTAAGACTACTATCACCTACGTATCATTAGCTGGACCCCAAAGCCAAGTAACTGGCTCATGGAATGTGTCTCTGATGCCGTTTTTTGTTTTGGTACTTGTGAGAGATTTTCACAAGAGAGATCCAACAAGGGTAGTCGTAGCTTACACGTAGAGAGTGACGCTAGCCGCAGCCACCTCTTGACCGTCTCTTCGTCGTCTTCCAGCCATTTTATATTCACCGTATAATTAGATCTGAAAACTTTGTGAATCTTTACTATGGGCTTCTTTGATATTACATGCTGTTGGCTAGTTAATCAAATACTTTTTTATTAAAGCTAAATACCTGTTGTTCTTGTAATCAGGGCAGCAGTTCATGTTCACCTCTTGCACACAAGCATTCTCACCAGCGAAATATGGCAGATGATCATTGAAGGAGCTACCACTGAAAAAGCTTTCACAGCTGTTCACTGCTCCAAATGGTTTCCTTCCTTCTCAGCAGAGCCTGCGTGGCTTTTCTTTGAATTCATACTGTTCACAATACCTCATTTTACGCTCTGCCTTCAAACTGCTCTTCCTTGAGTCCGTGCGAGTCACCAATATTTCATTTCTGAAGTATACTTCTTGTATACTTTGCTGGACCTTATATGCAGTCAACCTGCTATGGTAAAACCCACGGCATTTCTCGAAAATCATTGTAGTCTGAAGCCGGCCTCGGTCCAACAACGGGTGGCTCCTCCAAGTAGGTCAATTCAATGCTGGAAATATTTTTTGTGCAAATTCACTATTATGAATTCTAGTCGGTTGCAAGCGAGCCGTTGGAACGACATGAGATTGAAATGGATGATTTCGCGCACTAGGGTGTCGACGCCGTTGGCAAAAGTAGAATAGAGCAGCGTCATGGCGACGATTTTGATAGTGAATGCCCCTTTCTAGTCTAGAGCTGTTTTGGGCTGAAGAGGGGCTGGGAACTTTTTGATTTTGGCCTAGAAATTCGAGAATGAGTCAGCGAAAAGGTGTACGCTCATCACACATCTGCTCTTTGCCGTTCATGGAACTACGTGCATAACAAGAGAACGTGCTGAATGTTACATTTGTTAAGGACACAAGAGTGGCAATCCTTAGCTTACTGCCCACTAACGTAATAATTAAGCGTAGCCCTCTAGTGTTGCAGCAGGAGGCAAGCTTATCTTCTAACTGTGTTTTTTCGTTGGCTCCTAAGAGAGTGCCAGAAATGTGGGGAGGAATTCTAGTCGAATGGTGCGTAGTTTTCAAGCTTTGAACCATGTTCAGGCCTGCAGAAACCATTAAAGGGTCCGTCACGTTGGCCGAGTAAAGTGTCCACTCAGCGGGATGTAGGACGGCGGCGGGGCCGCAGCCAGGACAGAATTCTCACCACTCTTAGGGACCCAGGACATTTTTGTTAATGAAAAGTTGCCTTGTTGTCAATGAAAAGTTGCGCTCCCAACTGTGGGCACGGCCCAGTCGTTTACAGGGATCACCGTTGTACCTTTCAAGGTTCCGAAAGAATGTATACAGCATGAGAAGACTTGGAACATCGCTCGCGCACAAGAAGCTAAGTTCAGTATTACCGCCACGGTACCGTAACCCAAGACGGCGCCCTTTAAATTGTCAGTCTGTTGCAGGTGCGTTGAAAACATCAGCACGGGCATTGAAATTACATTGGAACTACGCCG